CCCCTGCCCAGGCCTAACGCCTCTGGCCAAGGCGTTAGGTCTGTGTAGGGGACCCCAGCTCCCCACGATTGCAGGCTCCACTCCTGCCCAGACCTAATGTTTTTGGCCAAGGATTTAGGCCTGGGCAAGGGATCCCTAGCTCCCCGGACTGCCGGCTCCATCCCTGCCCATCTCCCATTGCTGGCTCCAACCCTGCTTCCCGCTATCAATGGCCGGGGCAGCAAAGGCGCCTGGTTCTCTGATCACAGCTGGGGGAAAGGCAAAGGCAGCCCTCAGGGCCGCCTTTGCCCTGCCCCCGGCTCTTAGCTCCCCCCTGGGTTTCCGATCACCGTCAGTGGCAGGGGGCTTCTTCCGTCCTTTCCCTTTCACCTCCCAGCATTGTACCTACATATGCAAATTAGCCACCATCTTTGCTGGCGGTTAACTGCCATCTTGGCTGGCAGTTAATTTGCATATCGCCCTGATTAGCCAATGGGAAGGGTAGCGGTCGTACGTTAATTACCATGTTTCTCTTTTATTAGAAAGGATACAGATTGGATGCATTTCCTTTGTAACTGCCATTTTGAATTTTCTTTCAGTTTTTTGGAATAAGAATCATAATATTTAAAATAAATTCCCAAATAGCAAATGGCAACAATGTAACTCTTAAAACCCATATTGCCATCTATGACATGCTTGCTCCTTTGGGCAAAGAAAAAATCTGTTTCTAAATTTCTTTCTTTTCAAGAATGGCACTTAGCAGGTGGTCTTAGAAGGAGCTACTTTGTAATAGTTTCTTTGAATATTTTCAAAACAATAAATATAAAAAATGAACTCACTCCTTTCTTTTTAATTTCACTGGTCATCTGTCAAAAGCAAACAAAAAGACAATTAAATCAAGTAGAAATTTTTAAGTGATTTAATTTTTTAAATACTAAAATATAGTTTAAAATATATGTAATATTCTTTAAAATACTAATTAAATTGAAATTGACAAAATAATTAAGAATTAAAACAGCATTAAAATAAACTTTTTAAAGAGAAAACAAAAACTTACGATTGGAGGATCATCTGGCTCTGGTGATAAAGGTGTCCTTTTACTTAGTGTTTTGTCTAATTTTTTTTTGGCTCCCTCAATTCTGAAATATATAATTTAAAAATGTATGTTATCTCTAGAAGATAATAACATTAGGACATATTGTTAAAATATTACAATTTGAACATTTTTTCAATTATACTTAAAGAAGAGAGACTCAAGAGTTCTTTATCTTACCGAATTTTCTATGAGAAATAAATCCCCAAAAGCCATTACCAATGAGATCTTAATTTTCCAATTATTCATGTGTAATGTAAAAGAATTAGAACTTATTGAAAATTTTTAAAGTTAATCCTGACGCATTGTGGGTCTTTATATGTATTATCTCTCTTAATTACTAACCTTCAGAGAAACTTTCCCTTACCCCTTATATAAAGTTGCACTTCCTTCACTATCATCCCTTTTATCCTCACTTACTTTGATACATAGCACTTAGCACCATTTGACATATAATATGTTTTATCCATTTCTTATCCCCAGTGCCCAGTAGGTATCTGGCATAGAGTAGGTGCTCAATAAATAGTATTTAATGTACAAACTTATCACCCATAAAATACTCCTTCATCTGTAAATAAAGTTATGTCATCATATAATCCATCCATCACCAAATATATATTGAATGCTTATATTATGCAAGACACTCTACTAGTTTTTATTAAAATACTAGAGGCCCGATGCACAAAATTCGTGCATGGGTAAGGTCCCTAGGCCTGGCTGGTGATCAGGGCCAATCTGTGGGGTGACCAGCAGGGCAATCGCCTTGGCCGGCCTGGCACCACCCGCTCACTGGCCCCGCTCCCCACCGCCTCCGGTTGCCTCCATCTGTGGGGCAACCAGCAAGGCGATCAGGGGGCCCCCGCTGGCATCCACTTTGCAACCTGGGGCCTGCAGGCTGGGGCAGTTCCTGCATTGAGCGTCTGCCCCCTGCTGGTCAGTGCGCATCATAGCAATCAGTCATTCCACCGGTTGTTTCGCCATTTGGTCGATTTACATATTAGGCTTTTAGTATATAGGATTACAGCAACAAATCTCAAGGAATTTAAACTGAAATGGTAAGTAGATAAAAACAGAGTGCAAGGTATGGGACCCTGATGATTCAGAGGAGGGAAAAGTTCACTTACACCTGGAGATATCTGTAAAAGTTATAGGCTACATGAACAAGTTAGTATATGCAATGAGCTTCAAAGAAAGAGGATTTCAGGTAGAGATCTGGTTTTCTTGGGTAGATGGCTCTAAAAACACAAAGACCTCAGAAATAGGAAGGCCAGGAAATGAACAAAGGAAAAAACGGGAGTAGGAAATTGTCTAATTTTCCCAGAGTTTATGAGACCAGATGAAGATAAGTTTGGAGAAGTGGATTGGAATATCCAGCAAAAGACCTCAAATGGCAAGCTTTTTTACTCAATAGACAATGGAGAATCACTAAGAGTTTTTGAGCATAGGAACATTAGGAAGAGAAATCTATCAATTTGGAAAGGCTAAATGCACTGCAAGAGCTGGCCAAAGCAGAGAATATACAAGGAAAATTAAAGACCTGAGGGGGGAAAAAATGGAGATGTCAAGCATGACAGGAAGGAGGAAGAATAACAATTGAAGGAGGTAAAGGAGATATGATTAGAAGCAAGAGGAGAACCAAAAGGAATTTTGAGAAAAGAAAAGGAAATTAATTTTTGAGGAAAGGAAACCATAAAATCATAGACTGGTAAACTCGATAAGACTAGGACCATGTCCATTTTGCTATCTACACCACTTAGATAGTGTCCAGTAAGATCAATAAATATCTGTGGAATGACCAGAACAGTGGATTTGGAAAAGATCTCACATGTCTAATTCAGTACTGGTGTATGAATACTCTAAAAAATATCAAATTGAACCCCAAATGGATGAGGGGGGATAACATTCATCACTTTCTGCATTAGCCCAATTTATTGTCAGCTAGCTCATATTCTTAGAAACAAATTTCTTATGTTGAGACTTCCTTATGTTGTAACTTATTTTCTCTGGAGCTATTTACAAAATGTCTTATCTCTCTTCTTTGTTATCCTCCCAAAACTTAATAATACCTATCCAGTTCCTTCAACTATTCTTGTCAAAAAAAGTTACTATTTATGGTAAACTCATTATATTCTAGGTATTGCCGTAAGGTCTTTATATACATGGACCTCATTTAACTCTCACAAAAATCCTAAGAGGTAAACACTTCTAATCTCCATTTGACAGACAGTAAGATGAAGATCAGTAAAGTACCTGACTTGAAAAATTCACATGGCTAATAAGCTGCAGAGATGGAATCTGACCTGAGGCCTAGCTGATGACAGAGTCTATACTCTCAACCATTAACTGAATCAGCTTCCTTCAAATGAGATCGTTTCAAAACCCCTCACTCTCCTCTTTATTATGGTTTATCAGTGTTTCGTGCCCCACTTTTTTTTGTCTGTAATGTTTCATTTCTTTTATTTAAATAATATTCTATGCAAGAGGGGCAAAAAGTGAACCTGAGTTAATTCTTTGCATTAAGTAAACAATTCTTCCTCTATGAAAATCTGCTTTTCCTTTTCAAAAAACAAAGAAGGAAAAACATAGAACAAAAAGGGAATTAATAACACTTTAAGGAGACTTATACTTCCCTCTGTATTTCATCACCTATTGCAAAAATTAAATGTGATCATACAAGTGGAGGTTCTAGTTGGGCTAATAGCAACAAGCATCTAATAAACTGTCCTTTATTTTCTTTTACAATTAAAAAGTATTTCACCTCTAAACAAACAATCAGCAAAGAAACAGCAATCCTAAATGACTCACTAGACCAGATGGACTTAATTGACATCGTCAGAACCCTTCACCCCAAAGCCACGGAATATACATTCTACTCAAGTGCTCATAAGACACATTCAAAAATAGACCACATATTGGGTCACAAACAAAGTCTCCCCAAATTCAAGAAGATTGAAATCATACCAAGCATCTTCTCAGACCACGATGGCATAATATTAGAAAT